AAGAAAAGTTTCCTGCCACAACCAGTAGGAAAGGCCGTGAAGATTATCAAAGAGCTGGAGCACCCCTACTTTGAGGATAGGCTGAAGAAAGTAGGCTTCTTCAGCCTGGAAAAGAGTAGTCTGCAGGGAGACCTCATCGCAGCCTTCCAATTTTAAATGCACTTGATAAACATGAGGGAAATCAACTTTGTACAACAGTAGATAGTGATAGGACACGGGGAAATGGTTTTAAACTAAAGGAGGGGATATGGGAACACAGACACTGCAAGGATAGATTTAGATTAGATGTCAAAGGGAAGTTTTTGTACTGAGAGAGTGGGCAGGTTGCCCAGAAAGTCTGTGGATGCTCCATCCCTGAAGGTGTTGGATGAAGCTCTGGGCAATCTGGTCTGGTACTTCATCCAGCAGCTGGCAACCTTCCTGTGGCAGGGGGATGAAACTTGATGATTCTTGAGGTCCCTTCCAACCCAGGCCATTCTATGATTTTGTGATGATTCTGTGATCTGCCTGCAACTCTGGATCTTGGTTTCTTTGCCGTCTACTTGGATTTTTGGTGTTTTCCCTGCTATATCTGTAACTTTCCTGACTCTGTGCTAGGTGAAAGCAAACTACAACTATATGGCAGTAGCAATACTTTTTGAGGACTCTTCACTCACTTAGTTTTGACCTCATTTCAGTTCTCAGCAAGGCAAGAGGCATTTGCCTTTCTTGGTTGCCTGAAGATGAGAAGAGAACCATATGCAGTAGTACCAGTTATGTGTTCAGGTTGTCCAGACAATAGCACAATAATCCTACTTCAGTTCTAGTCTTTGTCTTGAGAGTCCAGGAATTGTTTTGGGGGAAAAAAAAAACTTAAAAAAAAAGAGTCAAAAAGAAAAAGAAAAAACAGTTTAAAAACCCAATTCTATAAACAGAGTTTTCTCCACGTTACCAAAACAAATCAGTTGCCAAATACAAACCACACAGTAATTTTTCTGCTTCATCTCAGTCATTTTCAATCATTCTCTGAGGAATTATTGTTTTCATAAAATCTCATTGGTGGAACATTGCCTTCCACTGTTGTGTTTTTCATTGGTATCCAACCAGAAAACAAACCCTCAAAAATACTGGGTGTTTCTTCCTATGTCTTTCACAATATTTCAGCTTTAATATCCAAGTTTTTTCCAGGGTAAGCAGCAAAATGGGATAGACCAAGTCTATTCTCCTGACTGCATCTACTCATGAAGTACTGGATATACTCTTGGGAGAGTATATACTCTTGGGAAAACTTGGGAATTGTGGTTGTAAGGACTTCTGGAGGTCTCCAATCCACAATCCCCCTCAAAGTAAGATCAAGTTCTGGATTGTACTAGGAGGAACAGTGCCAGCTGGACAAGAGAAGCAATATTTCCCCTTCCCTCAGCACCTTTCATACCCATCAGCACAGTTGTGTCCTGTTCTGAGCTTCCCACTAGAAGTGGGGCATGAGTGAATTGAAGTGATTTCAGCATGGGGCCATGTGGGACAAAAGCATACGATATGCATGGAAAGGCTTGGGAAGCTGGTGCTTGTTTACTAAGACTAAATTCTGGAATCATTTGCCCAGCGAGGCTGTGCAGTCTCAGTCCTTGCAAAACCCAGTTCTAGTTAATGCTGCTTTGGGTGAGAGAGTGGAGGTGGAGATGTCCCTGGATCCCTCTCAAACTGAATAAGCCCAGCTCCCTCAGCTTTTCTTCATAACAGAGGTGTTCCAGATCTCCAACCATCTTTCTGGCCCTCTTCTGGACCTGCTCCAATGACTCCACATCCTTCCTGTACTGGGGGCCCCAGACCTGGACACAGATGGACCTGGCTCCAGATGGAGCCTCACAAGAGCAAAGTAGAGGGGCACAATCATCTCTCACGCCCTGCTGCCAGCCTTCTTTTGGTCACCTTTATACTCCTCCTGAGAGCTTCTGCTACATCGCACCATACTTTGCTCTTCACCAAACTAAGTATGTTCATCTACACTCAGAGACTATTTGCTGCAAGCCCCTAGCCACTTTGGAAAACCTCTGCTGAATCTTCTCGAGCTGTCCTGGAAGCCCAGCCATCATTTCAACAGCTGAACCAGGCCCATTTGCACTTGTTTAAATACAGGGAACAGTTTCCAGCCTTCCATACCATTTCCCCTTGTACAGCATCATTTCTGAGCACACCAGGGCAAGCTGGAGTCATCTTGCTAACAGTAAGAGTTAGCTTACTAAACAAGTTCAGAGCAAGAGGAAGTGTTGGGATGATTATATGCAGGCCTGTGTGTTACTGGAAGGCTGCACCACATTTCCCACCATTTGGCAAGTTGTCCTCGGAGCTCATAGTCCAAAGAGCAGTTGCATTTGTGAAAGACTTGCCCTGCCCACAGACTTCTTCCTGTATAAACTGTGGTGAAAACATTCTCCTGACTCACCACTGTCAGGTCATCTTGTCAATGATGTAATCTTTTGTTTTTCCTCCAGAAAATGCAATCTACCATTCCCTCATGTCAATATCACCCACAGAATCTGTTTGTAATGAAGAAGTGCTGAAACACAGACTGCACAGAGAGCCACCAGAGTGTTTATCAGCTCCAGAAAATACCCCATCACGCTTCAGTAGCTACAGAAACATGATTCTCACCCAGCTCATGCAATAGTTACAGAATACTGACATGCTTCTAAGTGACTGGAGCTAGCTAAACTTGCACAAATTTAATTTTCTGTCAGTAAAATTTCCCCCATTCTGCACGTGCCAGGAAAAATTATCTCATTTTGAATCAATTCCTGATTCCTGTGGTGTTCCTACCTTCTCACACTTCTTGAACAGCACTTGCACAAATATCTGCACGAAGTTGTCAGCATGCGGCAGACTGATCTTGTTGGAACTGTCTGAGAGAGGACTGTCTGGCAGTTTGCTTTCTAGTAACCACATACATGTAGTGCTTTGAATATCTGCAAGTCATGCTTTGGAATAGACAACAAAGTTCTCTCTGGCATTTTAATCTCCATGGACTGCTCCAAAAGTAATGCCTCCTATATTATTACCTTGCCCCCAGGGTCAAAGGCAGATGTTGGTGGTATAGCAGTAGAGGTTGAACCTGCCTACCAATATTCCATTACATTTTGTTGCCATGTGACAGATGGGTGCAGAGGAATACTCTGACAAAATGGTGTCTGAAATGGAAGTGTGTATGAAGCAGAGGTGTGGAGCTGAATTCCTACATGCAGAACAAATGGCACCCACTGACATTCACGGATGCTTGTTGAATGTTTCTGGAGACCGAACAGTGGATATGAGCACAGTGAGATGGTGATACATTTCAGCAGTGATGACTTTCAGCAATGTGAAAGACAAGCCATGTTCCAGATGGCCACGCAAACTTTTATAAGTGTTGCATGCAGGCTCTTGTTCATGACCAGCAAAAATGCATAGCTAATGGTGGTGACTACGTTGAAAAATAGTGTTTTGTATCTGAGAGTCTTCTCTATCAAACAGCATTATTGTGCTCTTTGTATCTGTTGTAGTTTCCATGGAAATAAGTAGGAGGCAGTACTTTCACATCAACCTAAGCACTTCTACCTTGTCAGAACCAACATAAAGTGTGGTTTCCATTTTTATTCACAGATAGGTACTGTACAGTCCTCTGGATGCAGGGACTGGTAATGTGATGGCCAGAGCTACCAGGAGCATATGGGCAGAGCAGCTGCCTGGGCACTTGGTAGCATGGTTCACTTGGGCCTGGCTTTCTGTCTCATCTTCTGAGAACAATTATTCACAACCTGAGCTCTTGGGCATTTTATTAAAAAAGCTTAAACTACCATGGGCTGTCCGGATGCTGAACCACCTCTTGAGCTACATTTTGGTCTATAAATGCAGTCCCTATATCACTAACTCATCCCAGTGACTTCCCACGAGAAGAATCACTGAGTAAGACGCTGCTGTCGACTTTTCAGACAACAAACTCCGGCTCCGGCAGCCGGGCTGCAGCGCGCGCCCTCCGCTAGGTGTCCCCCTGCTGATGCTGCTGCTCACCGGGATGAAGCAGCCCAAAACCGACGGTAGGAAAAAAGGAGCCGAGAAGAAAATGAAGTGGCGATTTCAGAAAGTGAGAGCATATAAAACTTAGCAACCGTGGCAAAAAAAAAAAAAAAAAAAAAAAAAAAAAAAAGCATATGGGAAATAGCCTTCATGCAAAGCACAGAAAGCACAGACAAACATTCTAATGATGGCAACAGTATGGAAAAATTAAAAGTTACAGTTTTGCTTTAACACAAGAGGAGCGATGACTCTACTCATATCCCTCCTAAGGCAGACACAGCATTCTGCTGCAGGCTGTGTCCATCGAACTTTTCTCGAGAAGGAAGAAAGCTGATATACTCCCAAGGTTAAAAAAAGGGATGGAATTTGGCGTGGTTTCTGCAGAGCCATCCCGGGGAAGGCACGATGAGCTCTGCGTGGAGAAATGAAAACATTCCTGAGGCGGACTGCCCGCGTGCTCTGCAATGCCAGCAAGCCACTAAATGCTGACATATCCTCTAATACGAAGTTTGCATGAAATAATGCCAGTCCGCACTGCTGTGTGACAAAAGTGCCTTTCCAGAATAACCAGCACAGAAAAAGGATATGATGGTACTTGGAGGAAAAAAAAAATAAACCAATAAATGTAGTTTTTCAAGTGAGGATTACTCTTACATTCAGCTTTGTGCCAAGCTGCGGGAGCGACGAGTTGAGAAGAATCAACGAAGGGAGAACCGAGCGAAAGGAGAGGAGCAGGGGCGTGAAGGGCCGCATTTAGCGGAGCCAGTCTCCCTCCCTCTCCTTCCTCCTCCGGGGCGGGCAGGGCACAGGTGAATGCGCCCTTTGTCCCGGCGGGCCACGAGTCGCGGGCCCTGGGAGGCACTGGGAACGAGGGGCGGCCGGCCCGCGCCCCGCCGGCATCGAGGGCGGCGGGATGGGCACGGAGGGCGGGGCCGGGAGGGGGGGTGGAGGCTGCAGCCGGCTCCCCCCGCTGCTCCCCTCCTCGGAGGCCGCTGGGCGCCCCGTGACTAACCTGAGGCCGCCTTCCCCGACGCAGTCGTACCGGCTCCCGCACGGCGGCGCCTCGCCCCCTACTCGTGGAGCCTCGCCGTGTTCCCGGCCGCAACCGGGGGAAGCCCGGCGCTGCCACCCCCCGCCGGGCCGAAGAAGCGGTACCGCCGGCGGGCTGAGGTGGGTGCGCCCCGAGCGGCGCGAGGCGGCGGCGCTGGCCGAACTGCGGGCGGGCGCGTGGCCGGGCTGCCGCCGGCTTCCGGCGCGGGACGGGACGGGACTGGACGGCACCGGACGGGTCCCGGCGGTGGGCCTGGATCCGGGCTCCTCCGTCCCAGTCGCACTCCGACGGACGGGAGCGAGCTCCGAACCTTCCGTGTGAGGCTTTCCGGAGGGGCTGCGTGAGCAGATGGGCAGCACGACGAGTTCTTGCTGTCTGTAGGGTGCTGCGCCGTACATCAACTTAGTTGAAGGCAGGCGGCTGTCCGATCGCTGTCGCGTTGTCATCTCCCAGCGGTGCCAAAGGCGCAGTGGGACGCTTTCCCTGTCCCGCGTTCTCCCATCTCTTCGTTGTTATCTCAGGCTGTTTCTTTTGGCTTTTTTTTTTTTTTTTTTTTTTTTTTTTTTAATTCACAGAGCCAGCGCTGAAAACCCTTATTCAGGAAAACCTTTCATTGGTTTGGGAGGATGTTTTTGCAGTCAGGTCTGCCCGGTTTGGGTCCCTGCTGGTTCAGTGCTCTCATCGGCCTTGTTTCCCAGGGCTCACGACGCTGGAAGCTCAGCTCTCTTCAGCTGCAGGCCCTCCATCCTCGTTCCTAGCTGTTGGTACTGCTGCCTTTGGGGTGAGGGGTGAGCACGGAGGACAGGCATTGTTACCCTGTTTTCTTTTGGAGCACTTGTGACTGACACACGGCTGCAATTGGTTTCTGTCTTCGACAGGACTTTCTTCAGACGTGTTCTGGACAGAGCCATGCTGTAGATGACTTCGTTCTGACGATTCATAACTCACTGAATAATAGAACTGTAAGTGTTCATATTTAGAGTTCCCAAGGCTATTACTGTGCAATGTTACTGAGTGAATAAAAAAGTTCTATGTTAACCCTGGTGTCAGAAGCCAAGTACACTATAGTAGTTCAGCACCTATGCTTCCTGGCATGCAGTTGCATGGCTGTAACCCATATGTTTCCCTGTTAGAGCATAAATATTCACTCACACAAATTTATCTTCTTTTTCCTTCTTTTTTTCCTCCCTGCCATGTGAAGCATTAAGAGGGTATTTAAGATTCTATTAAAATAAATTCCCAAAATCAAATTTTTGAGCCAGCAACTGACCAGCACTTGATTTTTTTTTTTATTTTTTTTTTTTCATGATATAATTTACTACATTAACACCAATACAGATCTTTAGCTAGAAGCTGTTTCTGGATTTGTCACTTCTAAGTTAGAAGTGATAGCAGCTCAACTCAGGTGAGTTGAGTCTCCCACACAGAGCTTCCCAATCAAAAATTTACTTTTGGACCTCCTAGACAATGTGGTAGCCAAAAGAGGACAGTTCTAAAGAGGCTGGGATCACTGTCTAATCACCCTGTAGACAGGTGGTATTAACAGCTGAAAGCTTAATTGAGGTCAGTACAGAAAAAAAAACCAAAGAAGCAGCAAAGATGTGAGTCATAAGCTGCTTTAACAATTTTCAAAACTCAGTCTCATTACCCAAGAAAGCAAAATGTCAGATTCAGTGTTGTTTACATCCTTCCTTCCCCCCCCCCCCGCCCCTTCCTCACTTCATATGTTAAAAATCAGGGGGTACAGTGTGAATGCCCTTAATATTCTGAGTTCCTTTAACAACAGATCTGGAAATCACGTTGTTACCTGTGTTTTCCAAGTAAGTCTTTAAACTACTCTTTGCCATTGTAACAACTAGAAATACACTATATATCAAAACAGATAAAAGTAGAATTTCCTAACTAAAGGTGGGACTGGAAGAGCTGAGGCTTGGTGAAGATACCTGTAATAAAATCACTGCATTTATTTTTTGTAATAGAGAAAGAAAGTAGAAATGTGTTTGTAGCAGCATGTTTTCTTGTGTGCAGGATATACAGACTACCCATTAGCTGGCATAGGAAAGGGTTAATCGCTTGACCTTTGGAGAGAAGCACTTGTTGACCCTACTCTGCAACACTTGGCTAAAAGGTTATGCCCAAAGGGGGAGCTTGTTAGCAGGGAAAAACATCAGAAGATGACCAGAAGATCAGGAAAAGAATACTTAGGCGTTGGAAGTCTGGTGGCCTAGTAGAAAGCAATCCCTTCTACCAGACAGTAGAAGACTGTGAGACTCATCCACTGAAGAAACTATGCACAGAAAAATAGTACAACTGTCAGATTTAGATACAACTCTCCAAAAGTTTGATGGATATAAAATAACCTGTATTTAGAAAATTAATATCATACATAGCAATTCAGCTGTTCGTTGGGATGTCTACACAGAGGAGCTAATTAGTCCCAGCCTTGAAGGCAGCCACAGAAAACTTACACTGGTCTGGCATTTTGAGCTCCCAGTGGTGTGGCGCAAGCACATCTCTCCAGGCAGCACGTGGCAAGGTGGTGAGTGCATTGGAAGTCCTTGGGGAAGTAACTCCTCGCAGTTGCTTAACAGTCTTCTCGGGACTTCTTCAGGGTAGTGTCTCTACTGCTGTCTTAGGATCTCTAGAGAGAAACACCTATTTTATTTTATCCCTTATCTTCCTCTTTGTTTTCTGGCTTCTGATTTCTTACAATCTTTAAGAATCATTTCTGCTGCTTCTAGTGGGTGATAAGAATTGAAAGTGTACCTTGGAGCGGCATGAACAAAGCTTCAGCTGGAGTTTCCTGACAATCTTAATGCCACAGGCTGACTGTAAAATCCATAAAACCTAAGAAGTATTAGCAACCACAAATTGATGTGGGTTTCTTATATCAGCAAGTTCAGCCTGTTATCGGATTAGACACTGTTTTGTTGAAGCTTTTTGTAAACTTATCAAAAATCCATCTTTATAACATTTTACCTGTTATGTCACAAACAAAAGCTGTTTCAAACCTTACTGTTCTATTTAAAAACTTTCACCCTGAATTAAATCTTTCATTCCACTGGTGATGCAGGCATTTAGCTTACTTTTCTTCAGTTACTTTGTTCTGTTGATTCGTATGCTTTCCACTTTACTTAGGAAAAATAAAAATAACAACTTCTCTGTCAAACGGGTGGAGAAGGGGGAAGAAAACATTTTGTGGACAAAGAGGCCTCAAAATTCCAGTAGGGGATTATCAAAACCTGTTTTTCATCCTGTGTTTGTTTTGCAGGCAGTTTCTGCAATGGAGAAGAGGGAAGGTGATAGTCGTACCGTTGACCAGAATGCATTTCAGAACATCATACCAAGAAGAAATAGAGAAAACCTTAGTGACTTGGTAATGTTTCTATAAAAGAGCAGTTCATATGTCATGCAGAAAATTGCAGTCTTTTGTTTGATTTTGTCCAAAAGCACCGTGTTTCCTTAACACTGGCAGATCATCAATGCTTTTAAAGTCTTCTCACAAACTGACATCAAGAGATTAAAATGATGAACAACTGATTCAGTTAAATCACATTTCATAATTAAAATATGCACAAGTCTTGTGCTAGTTAAAAGTGTTAAAATCTCAGTTTATATAATTTATACTAATATCACGTTGTGTAATGCATGAAATACGCTATTCTTCACTGTCTACAGACTACAAGTTACTTAGGATATACCTTCAGTGTTCATCAAAAATATACATTTTTATCATTTGATAAGCATCTTCAATTATAAAACCCTAATAAAGACTATGCCCTTTAATTTTATTCTGAGGCACTATAGGCAAATCAGTCAGACATGCAGGAACAGGCTGCCTTGACTCCATTTAAGATTTTATGGCAAGATAGCAATGTACTTTTGTTATCTCACAGTTAATAGAAAGCAAAACACCCTGTATTGGAGAGGATGAACACAAGACTTGCATCCACTTACCCTTGTGTTAATCAGTTAATCAGTTTCAATATATTTGATTCTTAAGAATAAAAACAGGTAAGATCACAGAAATAGGCAAATCCCCTGTATCCTTACAGAATGATTTGAAGTTGATGATCATGAAGGCCATGAAAGTCTTTTCCAATCTAAATGATTCTATGATTCCGTGAATGTCAACTTACATCTTTAAAACTACTGGTAGCTACCTTCCTCAAACCTGACATTGCCATATCGTTTTCTGGAGACTGGGACACCTGCAACATTAGCCATTCTGAAGCTGAGCTGTTGCCACATTAGTTCAGCTTCACTTTACGTTTCACTGGAATACTAGAAGGAGTTGCATGCTTATTAATGCTGTGTAGTCCCAGCCTCCCCCCTTGGACAGCTGTCTGCTGCATCAACTGCAAAGTCCTGCTGTTGATGCATGCATGGATTTCCATTTTGATCAAACACCTCTTCTCCAGACCATAAGAGCTGGGCAATCTTTAAATATGTTATCTCAGTGTAAAACAATGTGTAATACGCCAATATTTTGTCCCAGCTTAGCTCCTTCTAAAGCCTGTAATAATTCTACCCGCATCTTCAGTGAAACTAGAACCAAATAATGACAACTTGGCAATAAAAGATTCAGCTTTTTGAACTGGAGTGACTCAGTTTCACAGGTTTTCATAAATGCTAAGAGAACGTTATTGCATTTAGGGTGGACAGAAAGAAAAGCTGGGAATTGAGCCTGGAGTTGAAAGGGGCACAACTGATATGCTATATCCCAAATATTTCTACTTACAGCTTTATTCCCTAAATTAATTGTCATTAAAACAGCAGTGACTAAAAGAACTATTGTACTTCGCATCTCTGGATTCTGTTATTGCACATATTTATTTGAGTTACTTCAACAAATTTGTAGCTGAAATGTGAAATCTTGAACACTTATAAGAAGCTTTAGTGATGTTTTATATAACGTAATCTTCCTTGTGGTATAGTTAACTTCCTGGAATGAAAATCTATTTTGAAATCACCATACATAAGGAATGTAGAATAGAAAATCAACACTAAAATTGCTCAATTACTGACTGTACTATTTGAAACATATTTTTCAGCTACCTTGTCTCTCACAGTGTGTGTGTTGGTTTTGAACAGTTTCAGTAATGAAACTGCATAGCATACACGTTATGATAGCAAATACTGTGATTACAGTTTTAATCTTCTTTTGTTCTCGCTGGTATTTCCTTTCTGTCTATTCCAGAATGTGGATATGCAAGTCACCAATCCACCAGAAGTAACTGCACTTTTTAACTTACATCAAGCACATCATTTTAGTGAGTTTGAATACTCTTCAGAGCAACACTACCAGCAGGATTTGTTCCCCAGGTGGCACTTGCCACTGAAGATAGCATCTGTGATCTCATTATTGACATTTATTTACACTTTTCTGAGAGACGTCATATATCCTTTTATAACAAAAAATGAAAATGTTTTCTATAAAATTCCAATCCTTGTCATAAACAAAGTCTTACCAGTGGTTTCAATTACCCTTTTAGCACTGGTATATTTACCAGGAATATTAGCTGCTGGTTTCCAGCTGTACTTTGGCACTAAGTACAAAAGGTTTCCCTTGTGGCTGGATAGATGGATGTTGTCAAGAAAACAATTTGGACTTCTCAGTTTCTTCTTCGCTGTGATGCATGCCTGCTATAGCCTATGCTATCCGATGAGAAGATCATATAGATACAAGTTGCTGAACTGGGCATTCCAGCAGGTATGATGGGTTCAGAAATTGCCTCTGATTTGGAAGTATCTCCCCACATAGCACAGTAGAGGAATGGAGCAGGACCTACTAGTTGAAGCATGTAATAGGGAGTCAAAAGTCATCACAGCTGTGCCAGTGTGTATTCAATAAGTCACTCTCTTCATCTAGGAATTTTTGACTTGGCGTATAATAATTATAACTGCCTCACAGGTACACGTAAGTCTTTGGCACAGAATTAATTAAGTATGGATTAGTTTTCTCAGCGTCAGTGGAATCAACTATCTACAAAAACTGCTGCACACGCTATTCTTAGACATCATCTCTGTAAAGTAAATTATCCAGCAAAAAGCTGAGCTAAATTATAATAATTTTTATTTGCCACAGGCTAAACGTGTGAACACTGATGACTCTACAGTTTGGCTGCTACACAATAACTTGTTAAGACAATCCAATTAAAATAATTTCTATGATGGTTCCAAGTCATGGGCAATAAATGGCTTGCAAAGCTATCTAAGGTTCTCTGTTACTAGAGAGTATATACTACGTGTATATATCACTCTGAGAGCCACAAGTATTCCATTATAAGGAATAGTCCAGTATAGGGTGTAAACTGCAAAGGTAGTTCTAATATCCTCAAAGTCTAAGATAACATTTTATAAAAAGCAGAGTAGGATGTTTTCTTAAGAATTCTTTTAAACAAAACAATGAAAACATTGAAGATCAGCTTTCCTGGTAGTCTGGCTTGAATGGTTTACCAGAGATTTCTGTGAGATTCCAGTTCTTAAATACAAATGAAGAAGTTATCATATTTGTAGCATATTATATGATGGTGATCTCAATAGCATCAAAGAACTGTTACAAATAGGAGAAGCTTTGACATCCACTTATTATTTTCATTCAGATCAACCACTGTATTCTGCGCAGCTGAATGCACCAACTTGTTGAATACACAGGACTCAGCAGCTATTCTGGCACGATAATGTCGTTAAGAATGCTTGCTAAATTTACACCATAAAACAGTGCTGTAAATATATTTCCTGTTGCTATAAGCTCCCAGGTATGGTATTTAGTTAGAGATGGAATTTTTTTCGTCAAAGAGTAAGATTTCTCATGCTGTGAAGGCAGGCTAACGTGCCTCAGAACAAGTCTTTTCTGAGCCAAGATGCTGATGCAATCTGCACATTCTTTTCATTCAAAGCCTACCTTTGCTCTGCAGATACCAGTGGGGACTTTTTCATTGCAGTTAAATAACTGTTACATTCAGAAACATTCAAACAAACAAAAATACCGTGTTTCAAATCTTACTTCCTAATTACCATTGTGAAAACAACTGTACTTTATGAAAGTTGCTAAGTGCACCAGAAAGCCAATTGTATCCTGGGCTGCATAAAAAGAAGCATGGCCAACAGGACAAGGGTGAGATGATTCTTCCACTCTATTTCACTTGAAAGGAGTCTTGAGACCCCACATGGAGTACTGCATCCAATTCTGGAGTCTCCAGTACAACAAAGACATGAACATGTTACAGCAAGTTAAGAGGAGAGCTGGGAAAATAACTAGAGGGCTTGAGAACCTCTGCCATAGAAAATGTCTGAGAGAGTTCAGGTTGCTCAGCCTGGAGACAAGAAGGCTCCAGGGAGACTTTATTGTGGCCTTTCGGTATATAAAGGGAGCTTACAAAAGAGATAGAATGATTTTTTTACAAGGGCATGTAGTGACAGAACAAAGGGCAATGGTTATAAACTGAAAACAGAAAGATTTAGATTGGATATAAGGAAGAATTTTTTCATGGTGAGGGTGGTGAGACATTGGAACAGGCTGCTCAGAGAGGCTGTGGGTGCCTCATCAATGGAAGTGTTCAAATTCAGGTTGGATGGGGCTTTGTAAAACCTGACCTAGTGAAGCATCCCTGCCCATAGCGGGGGTTTGGACTATATAGCCTTTTAAGGTCTCTTCCAGCTCAAACCATTCTGTGATTCTTCTTGCAGGTCAAACAAAAAAAAGAAAGTGCCTGGATTGAACATGATGTTTGGAGGATGGAGATTTATGTGTCCCTAGGAATTCTGGGACTTGCTTTGCTGGCCATATTGGCAATAGCATCAATCCCATCTGTCAGTCACTCTTTGACCTGGAGAGAGTTCCATTATATTCAGGTATACATTTCATGTCATCAACTCCACATTTTTAGGACTGCATGTTTTCTGCTGACATCATCCATAGTTAAAAGTATCAAATACAGAATAATTAAAGAAACCAATATGAAAGTTTATTCAGCATCCTTTGTTAACCACTTCACACACACACACACAAAAAAAGAGGAAAATGTTCATTTCATTTGTTATTTCAGCAGGAGAAAATACTGTCATGGTCAGGGCATACAGAAAGCTCCAAATTACCTTTTTTTCCTCCTCTCACCTGGTGAAATGTCAACAGCAGTTATTCTTAGGTCAAAGACTGCTGGTGTTTTAAGCATTTAAGACATCTTCTGTGCCTTTTATGTTTCAGGAAAGCTTTGTGTGAACTGGAAGTAGGTGGTACTGATCCAGTTCGTAGGGTTGCCATACAGCATGGGATTTCACTGTGCAAGAATTGCTTGTTGCTCACTTGAAGCCACTGTGGCTATTCTGTACTGCCTGAGAAGTACCTGGTGCCTAGAATGTCCAGAAAGCTCGTACCTTCTGAAATGCAAAGGTTTTCCATCTGCACTGTCACCAGTCACACAACCCACTCCAAATCAGTATTCTGAGAATGAGGCATTCTGTAAAGGAACAGACACAAAATCAAACCCACCTCATAATTAGTTTTTCTACAGATGATTGGGGTACTTTTTTATTCACCTAAGTATTTGCTTCTCTCTTAGTTCACTGTATATTGCATAATAATAACACAAAATATAATAATATATTTTAAGATAATAATAAAATACAATAATAATCAGGCTTAGTTCTGCATCAGTATGATCATAGTGTGTTAAATAAGCACCGAGTTAGATCTCTGAACGCCAAAATCTGAAAATTTGAAGACCTATTGAGCACCTATCATTTGAAAACATGATATCAATTTGAAATGTAGATATGAAATGTATATTTTCTGACAATGATTTGGGATTCTGTCCATTCTATTTAATGCACTAGCTGCAAGAAAAATTTGTCAGACTTATATAGACTGTATACTGTATAGGAGAGAGTCTCCCAGTGCATGATTACTTCTTGTATTAAATGATCATTGTGAAGAAATCCATAATAATAATAATAATAACAATAACACCCAAAAGATTAATAGTAATATATTGGATTAGTTTTGTAAACAAATAACTTGTATATTTAAAAATTATTTCTTATTGATTCAGAAATTAGAAAGGCAGTGTTGGACTTCACACTGATGGCAGTTCCATTTTTGTAATAAAAACAAGGTTATTATGTACTCAGGAAACTCAAAACTGCTAGTGACTCTGGCATAACTCTTCCTTTCCTCTTGAAATTCAAATCCTAAGTCAAATTTATCATAGTACTATGCTTACTACAGTTACTGGTTTAAACTGACTTTAAAAATTCCCTTTGCAAACAATTGATTGAACTGCTCATAAACTTGCTTTTGAACTCATAGTAATTTATCAGAAAAGACATCCACCAATTGAGATACTGAGAACCGACCCATTTTTGGGAATCTTTTATCTCTTCTGTATATTATCAGTATTACAACAATAGCAGGAAAATGTGCCCCCTGCTTTTTTTAAAGGTAGCATATAGGTGTACAACTGGATGCTAGAATTATAGGCCTAAAATTTTAATTTTTTTTAAAAAACCTAATGTTCTCTTTTCTACCACTTAGATGTGTTGGTTGAGGACCTTTTTGATCTCCATATTTGCTTAACAGAGTAATCTTTTGCCAAGCTGGAAAAAATAAATGACTTATTATCTTTCTTTTTTCAGAGCAAGATGGGATACATAGCTCTGCTGCTGTGCACAGTTCATGCACTGGTGTTTGCTTGGAATAAGTGGGTTGATGTTAACCAATTTATCTGGTACACACCACCTTCATTTATGGTAGCAATTTTTCTTCCTATTGTGGTCCTGCTCTGTAAATGCATACTGTTCTTTCCATGTTTCAGGAGGAGGATAAAAAAGATTAGATGTGGTTGGGAAGCTAATACACAGACCAATCAAACCAACCTGACTTCCAGACTATAGATCAAATATGGACATTCCCTATCTGATGCATGTAAATGTGCTCAAGTCAACAAAATGTTTACTTGCGAGCTTTGTTTTCATGTATTTCTTAGATGTTTCCTGTTTACTTTTCATTTCAGCCGCAGGGGTATGGAATACCTGATGCAGTTTGAACTTCTGTTGTGACAGAAATTGGAAAGATTAATTTCACACTTTAATCTATTTGGTATTCTGGTATTTGATCATTTCTTTCTTCTGACTCACTGCTCTTAAAATGCCAGTGCTTCATTGCTTCAATCGTAATTCTTTCACTAGAAAATGCAATCATAAATCACTGCTCCAGATGACCACAGAAAGTAAATAAATCATTACACCACAAAATCCAGGAATGCTTTCTGTATCTCACAGCCATGTTTGTTCCCTGGTTAAATCTCAGTGTTATGAAGGGGGGACAACTTGAGTATTTATTGTCCTGTTTCCCGTTATGTCCTGCATCTTACATTTAACTGCAGAAGGGATCCTTTAGCACTAGAGCCAAATGAAAATCTGCATTCCCACCATGTCTTGAATTTAAACAATCAAGTAAGCAGAAGTCTGGGGAACTTTACAAGGGAAATCTTTCCTGAGGCTTAGGCACAGTCTGAAAAAAAAAGAGTTTTTAGGTTCAGATCTACATCTTATACAGGACTAGGTGAGTCTGTTTATTTAGAACTATAAAATGTTTTCATTTTTTTTCCATGAACATATTCTTTTGTTTCTGATGCTGGAAATTTTCCATACTTTTGACCTAAGCCTGCAGTCTTTGACACGTGCTAATCTTTATTAGCATAGATTTTTCCAGTGGGGATAGCTCACACATCAAGTAAATACGTTTTACCATTTTACTATAGGGCCAGCACAATTATGTGACTGGAAGAAAATTATTAAAAACTGGCGTTTGAACCTTGACAATGATTTGGTGATATTTTTGTGTGAAACTACTGTTGAATGCATTTGCTTTTACTTAAATTTTAGTGTAAGTTGATGAAACTTCACTTTCTTTGCTTTACATAGATCTGCCTGAATGCCTTAACTGAATAATTCGTTTGTTAACTTCTATTTTAAATACTTTATGCAGCAGTTAATATTTTCACACAGCATCAGAAACGTTGCAGTTTCCCTGCATGAGCTGAATGGGACATGGATTAATGATGCCACCTATTGCTGGAATCATCCAAATGAGAATTGCAGTGGTTCTGGTATTAAACAAAGAAGAAAATGTCTGTGTAAGAGAATATGTAATACATGGTGCTAATGATTCTGTTTTACGTTTGTGGACATGGTTCACTGAGTGTAAATATCAAATTAAATAACTATTCCTACCTTTTTTATTTTCCTGGTTTTAACTCCATTCAGTTATTGCAGCTTAGAAGTTGTGCTTGTGTTTTGCACTCGATGTTGTACTTTGAAAATAATGGGAACATGGTGGCCTGTGTAATATAGACTGAAAAGACTTGAGTGGCATTGTGTGTCGGTAATGCATGACAGAGGTGGGCACTAAAACACAGAAAGCCTGCCTGTGAACTTCAGAAATTTCTAAAGGGAAATGGTTGTTGTCAATAGATCAGCATTTACATTTCTTTAAAGGAAATAAAATTAATTAGAAGTCATGTTAGAGAGAAAAAATATCAAAGGCTTACTTGAAATATTAATTGCACTTGTTGTCAGGAGTCATACAGTTTTGCTTTATTTTTTCACTGAAACAGATTAAGACCAGTGCAACAACAAAGTAATTAAATTCTCTTCTACTAGCTACTCTTCATCTAGCTAATCAGAAGTTGTGTTTGAATTTACTGCTTAGGACTAAGCTGAGGTTTTAAGTACTGCAAAGCAACCCCAGCCTTTAACAGATTAATATTTGTTTTTATCAAAATGGGTTAAATTGCTCTCTCCGGAGGCAGCTCTGCTGTTCCCCTACTAAGAAAGTCTGGAGAATTTAGTGCAGTCTCCAATTTTGCTAAATTCTGGTCAAATTGTTGGCTCTGTTGTTTACAGCTGATCATAGAAGTCAACCCTTTGAAACAGGAATGAAAACTGAAGAGAGATTAATGAAAACACTCCTTGCAAGAGGCCATTCAAAGCTATTTGTATGACATGTGCAAAACAAAATCTCAAATATGAGCCAGGTTTTCTGTACAATAGATTGCCTTTTTATTTAGAAAGTAATGTTCCAGCTTTTAAAGCATGCAAATACAACAGGCATGGGGAAGATCATGTAAGGAGTAAAAAGGGCTACAGAAGAAAATGCTGTCGACAACATTTTATTTCTTCCTTCTTAACAGATATAATTTAGTTCAACATTAATTAAAATAAATGTGTATGTGCCTTTTAGTTCATGTAGCTCATTCAAAATTCAGTGTATTAATATGCCTATGTACTACTATAAAATATAGAAATGATGTTTATGCCAATTTGAGGCACTTACTTGTATAATAATTATTTTTATAAAATCATGCATCATTAAATGTTTCAATGTATAGATTGTGTCTGCCACTGTGCAATGTACATCCAGACCTGTATAAGGACAAAAAAGGTATTTTAAAACTAGAAGAGCTGCTGATGGGAACAATAAAATGTCTGCATTCCAGGGAGATCATTCTCCCCTTGGTGACTGAAGAGTCTGGAGTTTCCAAAGGAGAGAAGGTAACCATATGAAAAACCTAATGGATACTTTGATAGGGGAATGTAATGAAAATAAATTCTGACAGATCTTTTAACTGACAGTCCATATATTCTAGCATTTGTATAAGAATTTGTGAGAAGGAACAGAAAGCTCAGCTAGTTGTGGAGTGTTTTAAAGGAAGACCTATAATCCCTGAAAACATTGATTAAATACCAGGAAAGATCAAGAATAATGAAGACATTCAGGAGGAAAAAGTAATACAGACGTATTTGGTAGGAATCCATCACTCTAGTGTAAGAGGTTTTGCAATGCCTCTACAAAAGCTGCAAATTCCCTGAGTTGTTACATATCACAGACATAATTAAATCAGACATACAGAACCGAAACTCACTGGAGAAAGAACTTTTAAATTGTTAAAGGGACTTGAGGAATTTTGTGCCAAGATTACATGGGATAACCAGATCGCATACTACTACTCTGAAAATGTGCCCAGGAAGCCAGAACAAGGGCTGTGCTGGCTCTGGTTTAATGTCAATTCCTGTTGACAGCAGTCTTTACTGTAACCTGCCCCTCCCTTTGGCCACTCTTCTCGGTTCTCTCAGTTCTGCTAACAGAAGAGTTTAAAGTCATGAAGTTAATCAGACCAGGGAGTTTGATTCTATTAAAAGTAATGCATGGAAAAGAATGATTCATCCAGATCCATGCACTGGTGTAATTAACTTCACAGCCATGCATACATCCAGCATGAAGGACAGGAAGAGCTATTAAATTATAGAATTGTATAATATCTCTGAGTTGGAAGTGACCCACAAGGATCACTGAATCCAACTCCTGGCTTCACACAGCACCACCCAAAATCCAAACCCTGTTCTGAGAGCACTGTCCAAACACTTCTTGAACTCTGGCACTTGGGGCCGTGACCCTGAAGAGCCTGTTTTGTGCCCCAACCAACTTCTGGTGCAGACCCTGTCCCTGATGCCCACCCGCCCCTCCCCTGACACAGCTCCATGCTGTTCCCTCGGGCCCTGCTGCTCAGTGCAGCCCCTCTGCCTCCTGTGAGGAGCTGCAGGCCTCCCATCAGCTCCTCTGCTCTGGGCTGAGCAAACCCAGGGACCTCAGCTTCTCCTCACACATCTGCCCGCTAGACTAATTTTCACCATCTTCATAGCTCTCTCTTGGACGCTCTCTAACAGCTTTATGTCCTCCTCACATGGTGGTGCCCAAACCTGCACATAGTGCTGGAAGTGAGGTTGCAAAGCAGTGGGATCTCGCCCACTTGCAGTGCGGGGCCTGCTGCACCCCATGATACGGCTGGCTGCCAGGGCACACTGCTGCCTCATGACCTCAGCCAGAACGCCCCTCAGGTCCCTTTCCACGGGGCTGCTCTCCAGCTTCCCTTCCCCAACCTGAACATAAATCCATGGCTGCCCCATCCCAGGTGCAGAATCCAGCACTTGCTTGTGTTCAGTGCTGTAAAGATAGTTTTTAATTTAAACATTTTATACCTTTATTAGTGCCCCTAAAACTGAAAGCTCAAATTATTTCATCCAATTCTGGTAGCAAAAATGTTCCACTGCTTCACTTATTTGTCAAGTTCTTAGTTTTCCATGACTCAGTGGGGAAAAATGTGTTTTAGAAGTTATCAACAAAAAACACAACTGACTGAACTCTACATGACTGTGGACTATGTGGCTTCATTTGAGAAATGATGAGGAATGAATTCTTCCTTTCTTTACTGCTACCTCCACAATTTTTACTTTTGTCCCTTGATAACATTAAGCATGTTAAATACTGCTGAAACACAGACTAATTTCTTTTAAGCTGATTTTCTTAAAATAATTGTTTAAGAGAACAAAAGAAAAAACAAAGACAGATTTTTGAAAGTATGCTGAATCCACCCTTGAAGAATGTAGTCTGCTGTAATCACTTTGTCAGGAGCTGATCATTGCCACTGATTTTTCTCAGCACTGCCAGGATTTCTTGATCTTACCAGCATGTTCTGTTCCTGATAATAAAATAACTTATTTTGGTAAGACCTTGAACTCTTCAACAAAATCTCACTGAATTCAGTTAAGTCAAAGCTCAACTTTTTTTTCAACAAGTTGAATTTTTCCATAAATTTAATTTATGGATATTTGAGTAGGTGTGTTGGGGCTAATTTACTAAGTGTGCTAAGGAATATTTTGTCCTTACATTTAATCTGTGGAACTCACTGTTAAAAAAGAAGTGTGGCATGTATGGAGCTTTTTGAATGGCCAGTCAGTGTTGTAAGTTATAGTCATGAAGCCTTGATGTACAAGCTTACATTGTTTTGTTGGATGTACTTTGCTGAAAAAGGAATATTGAACATGAATGTCTCCATTGCTTGAAAATCTATAAAATATATTATTGCTGGACTTGAAGAATGGGCACATAACACTTCTGTGATTTGTATTCTGCCTTTTTGTTCAGTCCTGTGATTCACGTACTAGACAGCACTTCCTTTATCTGTCCCCCAGTACTTGTGCACATATTGGAATAACTTTTGAACAATGCACCCTATTCATTCAAAAATGTTCAATTTGGGGAAATCTATACAGTCAGGAGGGGAAAAAATGGGGGGAAAAAAAAAAAGCAGCAGAAGAAATGAATAGAGAAAGAAAAAAAAAGAGCAACTTGCAGAGAACCTTGGGCATCTCTGCTGCAGTTTGGAAATCTAACAATTGTTTGATGAGATTCATTATTAAAACAGGCTTTCTCCTGTACCTTCTAATTTCCAGTAGAGTTAGGATTTTCACAATATAAATATGGTACATTATTTATTCCCAATTAATTAGTTACGGAGAAGGGTATTCTGGGACAGAGGAAGGGTGGGTCTATAAAGCTATGCGAAGAAGCATTAACATGGAATGGAAAGAAACAGGACAACTGGAGATTTCATTATGAAATGAAAGGGGCACAAAGGAAAGGAATTTAATGAATGCGATATCATCAAAATAGTAGGGAACAGATATTTTTAGTATAGGAGATGGTTAAAATGAAGGATGAGTCAATGATGGATAGCATGGAATCTGAAGAGCCTGAAGTGAATCTGTGAAATGGATGAGATGTGAGTTTTTTCCACATGCAGCTGCAGAGTGGAACAAATACAAAGAACCCAAGTGTATGCAGAGCTCAGCCTGCAGAACCTATTAAGTTGCAACCATGTCTCCATCCCTGGAATACCATTTGAGGTATTTCTGGGGAAATCCAGTCACAATCCACAGATATGTATGAACATCAGCAAGGTTATAAGTAATTTAGAGGAATTATCCTCTGAGATGTAGCCCTACAATTTTATTTTGGATGCAGCACATAACTGTTTCTGAAACTGGAGGGACACAAGCTATGGTTTTTGCTTCACTTTTCATAAAAGTTTAAATATAAACTGTTTTATTTTCAAATAAATTGTGCTTATATTGGAACAGACATTGCTACTTTGCTTCCTGGTAAACTGTACAGAGTACTGTGTTAAATGAAGGAGAGCATTTATTTAAGACACAACCAAGCTAAACCACTCTTAAGCGCTGCCTACACAAAATAAGGAACCAACTGAAACCAGGGAACTAGATGGTGCATTAGACTACATTTAGAAAAGTAATAGCTAATAACTTCAGGTTTTACCCTTGTTTTGATGTCTCTATTCTACTGCACATATTTAATCCTCATCATTTATAGGCAAAATTCCCAGATTGGGACTCTTACTTAGCTATTCAGAATCAGGGTTTTTCCTTTGCAGATACATAAATAAATAGGGTCTGCTTTTTTGATAGAATCACAAAAAAAGTTGCTCACTCTCTCCAGTCTGGGATGGACTCTATTCTGCTATGGATCACTCAACAAAACAGCCTCTAAAAAATGTCAAGACTGTGATATGTAGTATATAGCACAACACTTGACAAGCTCATTTAATACACTTTTCCTCATTCTCTTGTTCATGTTCCTCATTGATCCACCTTGATCCTTCCTATTCTGCCCCTTCCTTCCCTTTCTTAAACATCCAATAAAAATTATTTCACATTTATTATGCTACATACTATACAGTGTGATATTGTTTTTAATTTTTCTACTGCTCTCATGCAAAACCTCTGGTCTGCAGATTTGTGAAGGAAATTTGACCTCAAGAGCTGAAGTCCTAAACTGTTATTAACATAAACATGCTAGTCCATGCTCAAACGGTGGTCAAGCCACAACATAGCCTGTGCTTCAATCAGATGCTTTGGTATTCAAGCAAGTATTAAAATCTTTTAAACGACTCTTGCAATATTTTTTTCAATATCCATGTTTCACTAGGAAGGGCACACCTCTGTTCTTGGTTATCAAGTCAGCTGACAAAAATATTTGCTCTGGATATGATTGATCGTATTCTAAAAACAATGCTGTTTTTCCCTCAGCTTTGGGTCCAACAGTTGCAGGCATAAGATGACATTTTTAGGACCTGCTGTCTCACTCCAAAAATGCCTTTTAAGATGAGAAGCCATGAACCAGGAAGAAGTTGTGTGACCTTCTATAACTTGCAACACAAAGCAAACGGTGTTTCAAAATTTATAGGGAATAGTGGAAAGGTCTTGTGCTCTACACAAGGCCATGGAACAAAGATTCTTAGTTGTGCCTCAACAATGACTATGGAAAACCACAGTCAGAGGTTTCCTTCCTTCAGATTGTTTTTGGTATATAAAATCTATCTACCAGATAATAAAAGCAGAAACAATACTCACTGCTATTTGCATTGCCTTAAAAATGAAATAATAACCCTGGATCTTTTCTGGC